CAAGTCGGAGGAGGATGGCGTCCTGGACGATCGCCAGACCTCCAGGGCCCAGCGGTACGTTTTCGAGCACAGCCAGGCCGACATTCGGAAGGACGACTGGGATAAGTACCAGGAGTTGGGCAGCAAGGAATGCAAAATCCCTGGCAAGATGAAGCAGCGGGCCCAGATCGTGAACGCTTACGTCAGCCGTAGCGCGACGTACAAAGACTCCGTGCAGGTGAAGGCGAGGACGCTCGAGGCGATTACATCTAGGACTGTGTCCAAGGGCAAGGAGGATGCCGTCGTGGGCATGAGCAAGAACTGCATGATCGGGACCGTGTTCGCAGGGAGCAAACAATTGTTCCAGGAGGCTATCAACGATAACGAGATCTACGAGAACCCAGAGGACGGGCTGTGGTACAGCCGCACGAAGAAGATCAGCGTGAAGGACGTGACGTCGCACACGGTCCGCGGCACCAAGACCCAGGAGGCGGCGGACGACAGCACCTTTCGGTCAGCTCTCGCCGACATGATGGAGGTCGGCTGCTCGGTGAAGGAGAACTGGCTCCAGGCCCTCAAGGGGCCGCGCGGCAAACCCTCGTTGAAGAACCAGGATAACAAGCCAGACGCGACCGACTTCAAGATCCTGCAGGAGAGTTTCGACTCGGTGACGCAGGTCACCAGCGCCATGAAGAGGGTCGCGGTCGAGCTGTGCAAGACCAACAGCAACGCAGCTGGCAATGATATGGCGCGTCGTGGCGTCCAGCTCTGCCGCGACGTGGCCCCCAGCCAGGACGAGATCGAGAGGCTCTTGATGGCGGGCCCCGACAGCACCACCAAGAAGGAGGTCGCGGCTGCCTTGCAGGCGGCCGCGGGCCCCTACAGGCAGCTCATCGAGTACTACAACGAGCTGGTGGCGATCCACAAGCACCACCAGAAGGGCGGTTCCTCCTCCTCCGCGGGGGCGAAGTTCAAGGCTATCACAGGCTAGGGTGAGGACCCTGGCGATGTTGCGTTGAGTGAGGTTGTGACAGCTTGCGTCCATGCTGCTTTCAGGTTGTTTGACCGAGTTATTTTAAGCGCCTCGGAGCTCCCGATGTTTGCTCCGCTGCCCGAACGGGCGGCTACACTGAGTGATTGTGCCCAGACGGGCGGCTGCACAGAGTGATTGCGGTTTAGGGTACGAAGGGAAGGGGGGGCAAGGGATCTCACGTGAGAAACGTCTACATTCGGCGCACGGGCTGTATGATATTGCTTTCAGTTGCGCCTCCGAAGCTGCGCGGAGCATCGGTGGTGGTAAGTTTTCTTCTTCGCTTGGTGCGAGGATTGCGGACGCATGAGCTCTGTCAGATCAATGTTTGCACCGAGGGTGTATTGAATCACTTGGGCGCGGTATCGCGTGCATGCAGTGGTTAGTAGATTTTTAGTAGATTTTGAAATCTACCAAGAATCTACTAAAATCCATAGTAGATTTTTAGTAGATTTCAAAATCTACTAAAAATCTACCAAGAATCTACTAACAAGCATCAGGTGTCCTTGCATGTTTTTGAAAACGTGTTCTCGGTTTTGATTTCATTTTCTGTCGGGGCCTCTCGGGGCCAAGCTTCTGATTGCCCTCCTGCTTCAAAAATTTGTTCCGCTGGCCCCGAGCAAAGATGCTAGGGGGTGGGGGCACGTCTCTGACACAACATGCCGAGCGGTATCATGTGACAAGGGTTCGTGTAACAAACTCGTGTCAGAGCACATATTTGTTCGGCGTGAAGGCGAGAGGAAAAGGAATCGCTCTCCAAAGATAGTTACGTTTTGAAACTGAACCACCATCCATCCCTCCAACTGCTGGAAATTATCAGACGAGTATGCGCGACGCCAGGACCAGAGCCACATTCGGAGATCGGATCCAGGAACAATTTGGCCAAGAAGAATAAGAACCGCCGTCTACAGAAACAAACAAAAGGCCGTAGCTAGTGGGAACACTAGGACTCCGACATCTGGCGGAATAGAGCGAGCATGCGTCCGTAGAACATTGGCTTTAGATCCCTGTCCGTTTGCGAACTGATTACGATCGTGAATACAGCTTTGTCTTGTTATGCATAACCAATGTGGCAATGAAGGGCGGTCGATTGCAGCGGGCCAAGCGACATCTTGAGGCCGCGGGCCCATCTCATGAACAGTGCGGTGACCAATCAAGACGTTTCGATTCCTTGTTGGCCTCCGAGTTGCTCAGGAAATGGGCATGGGGCGAGATCTCAGCAGTCCAGTTGCAGCAGGTATATTTGACATCTTACAAGGACCAAGTTGCGTTACTTGAGAAATTCTAGACGCTACGCGTATCCCCAGCAACCCATCCACAAGTTCGAGGCCTCTTGAGGTATCTGTTGGGCGTTTCTTGGGGACATCTTGGGGCGTCTGGGAGGTCTCTTGGCTGTCCTGGGGTGCTCTTGGGCGTCTTGAGTGCGTCGGGGGGTGGGAGGGCTCTTGGAGGCCTCTCGGGCGCCTCTCGGTGCCATCTTGGCGCCTCTAGGGGTCTCCTGGGCGCCTCTAGGGGGCTCCTTAGTCCGCACCGCCCCTCGGGAGCCCTCAAAAACAAGTGGCACGTGTGTGCCCAGGCTCATACAACAAGCTGAAGGGGCGTTTGAAGCAGGAGTGACATGCAACAGCGAAGTCGCACTCGAGCGCAAATGAGGTTGCCACACCTTGCGATGTGTGTACCAGGGGCCCCCCAGGAAGCCTCAGGAGGCCCGACTTGGATACCAGAGGAGGCTCCAGGAGGCACCAGGATTGTGAGTGTTGTGTGTGTGCGTGTGTGATGTGTGCTTCGTGTGGTGCGTGCTTTTTGTGTGTTGTCGGTGGTGTGTATATGGTATGTTTGTCTAGCGTGTGATGTGTTGGGCGTGATTTGTGTCTCTGTGTGTGCATGTAGTTCTGAAGCCCCAGGAGGCACCAGGAGGCCCCAGGCGGCCTCAGCAGGCCCAGGAAAACCCCAGGAGGCTCCGAGGCTGGGTCTGGGGTACCAGCAGGTCCAGAAAGCCCCAGGAGGCACCAGGAGGTTCCAGGAGGCCCCCCAGGAGGCTCCGAGGAGGGGTCTGGGGCTCGATTTTGGGAGGATGTCTCAGGCGAAACAGCAATTCTCTGAGAATCGGTGTCAAAATTATTGAAATTACAATGTGGTCTTGAAGGTTTTCTGTTAAACTGTTGAAATTCCTATGTGTTGTTGGTCCTCTCCTTCGCGATCTGCGTGAGGGGTGCCACCGATCTTCAGAATTTCGAGGATGTCCAGAGCGAAACGGCCAGAAAAATCAAAGACGGACGCACGCACGGACGCATCAATCCCCTCTGAGCTCTACTCCCTCGGAGAGGTGCGTATGAGAATATCATCCTGTACACCTCTTGGGGTGCTATTGAAGCGCTCTTGGGCGCTCTTGGGGCCGTCTCGGGGCCCTCTTGGGCCCGTCTTGGGGCTATCTTGGGCCCTTTTGGAGCCATTTTGGGCCTCGGAAGGCCATCGGAAGCGACATGGCGAGAAGGCAAACACATTGGGTTCCCTCAGGCGTTTGAAGGATGTTAGCCTCTTGGGGGGACTGGTTGGGGAACTACGTAGCCTTTTGGTGCCGTCTCGAGGCGGTCTAGGGGCATCTTCAGGGCCATCGTGATGCATTTTGGCCCATATTGAGCCATCTTGGAGGCCAAATTGGCCTTTTCCGATGCGTGTTTGGAGCCGTCTTGGGCCATATTGGACGCCCCAACGCGTCGCCGCGCCCCCCGTCCAGGTCCAGGGGAGGGGGTAGGGGGAGGGGTAAACCCCTTACCCGATGGGGACGAAGGAGGGGTCGAAGAGGAAACTCCCTAAACCACTTACCCCCAGGGGGCTGGTGGGATTACGTTTGCCATTGAGCCATATACCATCGTCCCTGCATGATTTGGCAAAGCTAGGTGATTGGGGGCGGACCGACGGCAACGTGCATCCCCAATTGATCAAGTGGCTCGGGACTCCGAATCTTCCACACATGGCCCACTTCAAGGTAAACGTGCTTGTTGAAAAACCGAGGGTGCTAAAGAAAACAATTCGCAATGTGAGTTTGCCGTTCTTGCTGCCTCATCAGATGTTTTCGCATTTCTTCCACGGCGACACATGTGAGTTCAAGAAAAAATACTTGGGCGATCTTCCCGACGGAAAATCGTATTCAGATAAGTTGAGCGAGTTCTGGAGAGGCGTCGTCGAGAGAAAAGATCCGAGGATCAAGGGCCATCCGATGGCCACGGTGAGAGACTGGCACAAGTGGGCTATCCCTCTGTGCCTGCACGGGGACGCAGTCCCCGTCGTGAGGGTCGGCAAGCCTGGGACAAAAAGTTTAGATTGCATTAGTTTCCAAAGCTTACTCGCCGAGGGAAACACAAAGGCAGTGAAGTTGTTGGCGTTCTCAGTTTTCGAAGCTAACAAAGTAAAGAGTTTGCCAGGGATTGTCGGTACGATGGACACTGTCTGGAAAGTTCTCCTCTGGAGCTTAGAGGCGTTATTCAATGGTCGATTCCCAAACGCAGATGAACATGGAATCCCTTATCCGTGTGGCAGCAGCGATTACATGGTGAGTGGCAGACGTTTGTGCTCAGATGACGAACCGTACTTTGCAGTGTTGTGGTCGATAACTGGAGATTTAGATTGGTACGCGAAGTGCTTGGGGCTAAACAATTACAATGCGGACGCCCCTTTGTTGGCAATGCCCCTGTGACAAAAAGAAACCAAAAAACATGTGGCCGACAAACTTCACCAAACATTCGGCGTGGAAAAGCATGCTGCGCACACGGGACGAATGGGTTGCAACTGGTTTCTGCACGCATCCACTGTTCACGACGTTCGATTACATCTCAATGTTGAACGTGGAAATAGACGAGCTGCACATATTATATTTAGGGGTTTGTCAATATTTCATCGGTTCAATTCTTTGGAGTTTGTGTTTTACAATTTTGTCTGGCAGTCCCCCAGAAGCGGCGATCGATGTTGTGTGGGGGGAGATACTCAAACATTATAAGTTGCAGAATACTCCAGTCCAATACACAGCAATGTCACTCTCGTTCTTCATACCACAAAATAAACGCAGCGAAACATACCCTCGCCTCAAGGGCAGGGGGGCAGAAGTAAAAGGCATCGTTGGTCCACTGATACAGGTGTGGGCTACATTTTCCAGGGGTACGCCCCATGACAACAGAGTTGCGCGTGCATTAGAGTCTTTGTCAGAAATGCAGGCGACGCTGGATGACTACAAGTCCGATTTGTTGTGGCCTGCCAGAGTTTCAAGTGAGTTCATGGATCTCACTGAGCGTTTATTGGCAGACTATTCTTACTTAGGTGCGCAGGCTGGCATCCGCTCAGAGACATTGTTTTCAGCAGTCCCAAAGCTACACTTTTTATGGCACCTGGCGTACAGGTCCAAGTTCATGAACCCTCGGCGAGTTGCGACCTTCATGGGAGAGGATTTTGTGAAGGTGTGTAAAGGTATCGCAACCCGTTGCACTGCTGGCACACAATTGCATGACGTGCCCGCCAAGATAATGGACAAACACAGATGGGGAGTTTTTCTGGAGTCGATCACAGACCGACCGTCATAGTAAAAACAAGCATGAAAACAACAAAAAACAACAACGAAACAAACAAACACGTGTCAAACACAATAAACAAAAAACAAAACACACAACAAAAAACCCCAGAGGCCTCCAGAGTCCCCCAAGGTCCTCCAGAGCAATCCAATCCTCCAGAGGCCTCCAGAGTCCCCCAGAGGCGGCCATGTTTTTGATGTGTCCCCGTCCAAGGCAAATAAAAGTCCTCATATAACTATAGCACACAGAAAGCACACAAACACCCCAAACTCGCGACGCGATCGACCACAACTTCGAGGCACCCGCCGCCCGCGCCAGGGGGAGGAGGAGGAGGAGGAGGAGGAGGAGGAAGAGGAGGAAGGATGATGATGATGATGATGAAGAGGAGGAGGAGGGGGAAGAGGTCGCTGAGAATGCGCAACATGGTTCTAATCACGTTGAAACATGTTGGGAGAGGAGGAGGAGGAGAAGGAGGAGGAAGAGGAGGAGGAGGAGGAGGAGGAAGAGGGGGAGAGGAGAAGGAGGAGCAGGTGGGAAGGAGGAGGAGGAGGAGGAGGAGCAGGGGGGAGGAGGAGGAGGAAGGGGAGGCGGAGAAGGAGGTCGCTGAGAATGCGCACCATGATTCCAATCACTTTGAAACATGTTGGGTGTGGAGGTGGAGAAGGAGGGGGAGGGGGAGGGGAGGGGGAGGGAGGGAGGAGGAGGAGGAGGAGGAGGAGGAGAGGAGCAGGAGGAGGAGGAGGAGGAGGAGGAGGGGTGAGAGGGGGGCCGACGACGCCCATTGTGTTTCTTATGGCAGGGGTACACATTCCAACTACCAGGCGGCGCTTGCTCATCCTGCACAGAGATCGCGGCCCTCGAGGTTTTCGGTCCTGTTTGTTGTCGGTCGGGTCCCTCGGTCGGCTCTGTCTGGGGTGCTGGGTTTTCCCGTCCCTCGCTCCCTTTTCGGCCCTTCGGGCCCTTCGGTCGATCGTCGTTCTTGTCGTCAGCCCACGAGCGAATCAACTCTTCCCCTTCCTCCCTCTTCCCTCCCCCTCATCCCCCCTCCGTCCCTCCTCCTCCTCCTCCTCCTCCTCCTCCTCCTCCTCCTCCCTTTCCTCCTCCCTCCCCTCCTCCCTCCTCCCCCCTCCCTCCTCCCTCCCTCCTCCTCCTCCTCCTCTTTTGCCATTAGGCTCACACCTTGAGCTGGGTTGCACAGGCGCCTTATGGAGGTTCCCATGGAGGTTCCAGTGCAGATCCCGATGGCACTTCCTAGGGGGATCCCTATGGTGATTCCCATGGAGATTCCTCTGGGGATTCCTATGGCGTTTCCGATGGAGCGTCCCATGGATATTCCTGTGTATATCCCGATGGAGATTCCGATGGATATTATTGCTGCGATTCCTATGGAGATTCCCATGGAAATTCCGAGGGATATCCCTACATATGGAGATTATTGTGGGGATTCAGATGGAGATTCCTTTGGAATCCCCAATGGAAAATCTCATAATGCGGGCCGACGACGCAGGATCTGACCATTCGGTGCCCTCAGAACTCTAAAGAAAAGTTAAGGTTATGGGCGCACACATAGCACATCACTTTCAGCCCTGAACTTTTTATGGGCACTGCCCATAGCGCTGCAGAGCTGATTTCATACAAGTGCTACGCGGGCTGAGCACAGTCGAGTGGGCTGGGGCGAACTAAGGGCAGACTAAGTGCAGGCAAACTAAAGGCAAACTAAGGGCACACTATGTGCAGGCACTATTGGCGCTATGGGCAGCGCACATAAAAAGTTAAGGGCGGAAAATGATGTGCTATGTGCGCGCCCATAACCTTAACTTTTCTTTAGATTTCTGAGGGCACCGGATGGTCAGGGTAACGGCGTATGCGGCTCGCGTCTTCTGCCTGCGCGCGCTGCTGGCTCCGTCGCGCAACAGCGATCATTGCGCGCTGCTCCTGGTGCATGTCAACGTGCTGGGCGGCGGAGACCGGTCGCAGTGACGCGGTGGCGTTGGCGCGGTCGCACTGACACGGTCGCGCTGACGCGGTCGCAATGACGGGGTCGCATTTACACAGTCGCATTGATACGGTCGCGGAGAGACGGACGCGTTGACATGTTCGCAACGGCACGGTCGCCTCGACACGCCCCACAGAACACGGGCGCATTGACGCGGCCCTCTTGGCACGGTCGCATCGACGCGGCTTTGCTGACACGGTCGCATTGACACAATCAAAAAGACACGGTCGCATTGACACGGCCTTAAGGACGCGGTCGCGTTGACACGGTCGTATTGGCACGGTCGCATTGACACGGCACTGGCACGGTCACATTGACACGGCCTCATTGACATGGTCACACTGACACGGTCGTATTGGCATGGTCGCATTGACACGGCCATGGCACGGTCACATTGACACGGCCTTATATACACTGTCGCGCTGACACGGTCGTATTGGACGGTCGCACTGACACGGCCCAGGCACGGTCACATTGACACGGCCTCATAAATGCGGTCACGCTGACACGGTCGTATTGGCACGGTCGAATTGACACGGCCGAGGCAAAAACCGCTATCGAGGCCCGACCACGCGCGCACCGAGAGCGCCGGCCTCGCGTTCGGCCGAAAAGCGCCCACGCGGGGGTATATTTACCCTCCCCCCACCGCAGGGATACGTGGGTAAGGAACACGAACAAGACGAGGAACACGAAGTCCATGAAGACCTGAAGCGAAGCAACCCAAACGCACCCCCCCAAACCGAACCCAGCCCGCCCACCACAGGCAACGCGGCGAACCGCGGCGCCAGCGGCGGGGCGGCTGGGGGAACTGGTTCCCAGGTCCGCGTGTTGGTGACACCGAACAAAACTGCGTTGCGTTCTCGCCCAAAAACAGGGACGGCGCCCCCCGCGGGGCCCGCCGCCGGACCTCGAGGCGGTGCCAGGCCGCGAGGGGGGGGGGGGCAGCTGTTGCCAAGGAGGGGCGGCGCAGCCACCGCCGGCGCGAGGCGCCAGGGATAGGGCACACCAGGAAGACCATGGAGGGGTAGGAGTCTGTCAAACACAGAACAGGTGGAGTCCGAGAAGGAATCCCCGTCCCCGCTCTGAGGCACGGGCGCGGGCGGCCGCGGGATCGGGACGCCATGTCGAGGATAGATTCAGGAGGGGTCGAGGATCTCTGTGGGAACAAGGAAAGGCGACACCAACACCACCAGGGCAAGGAGATAGGAAGAGCAAGGGGGCTCTCCCTGGTGGTGTGGCCCATCCCCTCTCGCTCGAGACATCCCCAGCCTCCAGCTCGGGGAGCCATCGTGGACCTCCTCGCTGGAGGTGCCCCCCCCCTGGTGGTGTTGGTGTCGCATCTCATCTCCCCCCTCCGATCTCTGAGATCCGGCGGCTCTCGAGGATGTCTCGGGCACCGCGGCCTTCTCGGAGCGTTCCGGAACGCTCTGAACGCTCTGAGAACTCTCCGGAACGTTCTGGAACGGGATTCATCCTCGTCCTAGCCCAGTCTGGGAGGGTCCTCCTGGCGGCGTTAGAAAGCAGCCAGCGGAAGATTTCGGTCGTGTCCATGGCGCCAATACGGGGCTCCCTCGCGCGCAACGCGGACTGAATGCATTTGCCTGGCATAGCGCTATTGGGGGACGCTACTGCGCTCTCGTGGAGCGCTAGTCGGGGCTACTGGGCGCAATGTGGCGCCAATAGGAGCTATGTATGTATATATATATATATAGACATATGCATAGATGTGTATATACATTTACAGATGATGTTCAATCCACTTAGTGTGTCTTGGACACGCCGTGGGCGTGTCATGATAGTTTCCAGCTTTCAGTCGAAAACATGTTGTTCAATAGCTTATGGCTCCCGATGTTTGTTGTTTTCAGGTCTCCGCGGCGTACGTTTTTTCATCGTTTCCGACGTCAGCCCGAGGGATAGTTGTTCTATTGTCCAACTTCGATGTTTCATCATTTCCACGTCTGCCTCGCAACGCGCTGTGTTGTACCCGGTATTGTTTGTTGTGAAGATTGGCGTGCACTGGCAATCACCAAGAGGCACTGAGGCAACGAGCGGCAGCAGCAGCAGCAACAGGCAACAAGTCGCAGCGCGCAGCAGGGAACGGAAGCCAAGATCAAGCAAGGAATGGGGGGCTGCAGCAGGCAGCAGGTGCACCTCGTTTGTGTCAGCACTCTCGTCCTGTCGCTTGTTCACGAGCTCGTCTTTTGTATACTTTCCAGGGAACCGTTCCCTTAGATGTTCCAGCTTGCGCCGATTCGTTTTAACATAGTTTCCAATTGATCGCGTGGATGCGTGTTTGTTATAGTTTCCAAAGTCCGTGATTCAAATCGTTTCCAAGGAGGGCGGCACGTGGCATCGACCCCACGTGGCGGCGACGACCTAACGCGACCTCACGCTGTGGCTTACGCGGGCCGCCAGTGCGGCACGCCCCATTAGAGACGAGGGTGCTCACGCGCGACATTACGCGGGAGCTTGCGTGCCAGTGTCGGCACAATCGAACATATTTGTCAGTGTCGCTCAAGTGGCTCAAATGGCACTGGCGCCCCCCCCCCCCCCCAAACACGCGAAGTCCTGATTTTTTCCGAACCATCCTGTGGTGTTGGGTCCTCGTTTTGAACAGACGTCCCGCGTTCTCCTGCCTTTATTTTCCTCGTCTTCCTCCTCCTCCTCCTCCTCCTCCTCCTCCTCCTCCTCCTCCCTTTTCCCTGCGCTGCCCCCACCGCCCCAATGGCGGAACTCGCATGTGGTTCTCGCGTCCAACGCAGCGTTTCGTAACCCCAGGGGGAGCTCCACCGAAGGTCCCAGTGGTGGAACTCGCATGCGGTGCCTGCGCCCACTGCAGTGCTTCGTGGCGTCAGAGGAAACTCCGCCGAAGGTCCCAACGGCGGAACTCGCATGCGGTTCCTGCGCCCAATGTCGCGCTTCGTGGCCCCATAGGGAGCTCCGCCGAGGGTCCCAATGGCGGAATCGCATGCGGCTCCTGCGACCTATGCGTTGCTTCGTGGCCCCGTAGGAAACTTCACCAAAAGTCTCACTGGAGGAACTCGCATGCGGTTCCTGCGCCCAGCGTGACGCTTCGTAGCCCCATAGGTAACTCCACCGAGGCCCCAGTTGCAGACCTCGCACGCCATTCCTGCGCCCAGCGTGACGTTTCGTAGCCCCATTGGGAACTCCACCGGATGCCCCCAGAGCGGACCTCGCATGCGGCTCCTGCGCCCAATGCGGTTCTCCGTGGTCCCATGGGGAGCTCCGCCGAAGGTCCCAATGGCGGAATTCGCACGCAGTTCCTGCGCCCAGTGCAACGCTTCGTGGTCCCATAGGAAGCTCCACCAAAAATCCCACTGGGGAAACTCGCTCGCGCTTCCCGCGCCCAGTGCGGTGTTTCTGTGGCCCCATAACGCGCGCACCTTTCGCGCGCTTCGTGTCCCCATGCCTGGGCGCGAGCGGTCTGCAGCCGGACCTTCTCTCGGCCTTGTAGACTCTCACGCTGGGCCGTCGGCTGTCCAGCGCGCCGCCCCCTCGGCCGACGTCGCCCGGGCGTAATCATGGGTTGCGGCCGCCACGAGGTCGGGAACGACAGGAAGGACGACGACTGGTTGTTGGAGCTCTACGCGCTGTTCTCGCACGCCACGCGCAACGAGGGCCCTCTCCTCATGCGGGCACCGCGGATCGAATTTTTCCCGGCAGGGCCGCCGGAGGGCTCGCAAAAACAGCTGGAGCAGCTTGCGGCGCGCACGAAGCGGCGCCAGAAGGAGGCGACGGCCCTCGACAAGGAGCTGGGCTTCATTGCGTTTATCCGCGAAGCCTGACCAGGAGAGCGGCCCGCCGGAGCCTCGCCTTCTCTCCACGGTCTGACTGTTTGGCCCCGCGCCGCGGACGACTCGCGCGCGTCGCTGGCGCCCTCTTGGAACGACCAGCGCGCGTCGCGGAAACTCCACGCCGCGCTCTGCCCAGCGCCTCGCTCGCCTGTCGCCGCTTTGCCCAGAAGCCGAGGCCTTGCGCGCAACGTCCAACACGTCCCACCAGCCCTCTTGGCGTCAGTGGTTTAGGGCGTTTCCTCTTCCACCCCTCCTTCTTCCCTTTCGGGGAAAAGGTTTACCCCTCCATCTACCCCCTCCCCGTGGACCTGGACAAGGGGTTTCGCGAGTCGTCGGAGCGTCCAAAACGGCCTCGGCGAGGAAACCACAATCATTGATTTTACGACGGTTTTGGCCCCATTTTGGCCTCCTGGGGGGGCCACTGTGATCCGTACCCCCCCCTCCTGTGATCGATCTCAACCAAGATGGCCCAAAAATGGCCTCCAAGGTTCCTGCCTGAAGGGTGCCCCAAGATCGCCCAAACATGGCTCCAAGAGGCCCCCAGGAGGCCCCCAAGAGACCCCCAAGAGGCCCCAAGAGACCCCCCCGAGCCACCCGAGATGCTCCAAGAGGCCTCGGCGATAATGCCAAACCACTGATGTTACGAAGGTGTTCGCCACATGTTGGCCTCTGGGGGGGGCATTGATTCAGATGACTCCAAGAGCGCCTGGGAAAGACCCAAATGACCTCCAAGATGGCTCAAGATATCCCAAGGTGTCTCATAATGGCTTCCTCTGTGTGCGGCCCACTTCTCTGATCGAGGCAATTCCTCTGGGCATCGTTTCTGGATGGTTGGTGGGGATTCGCGAAGAGTCAACAATTAGCTGTTTTTCCTCAGCGCAGCGGACGACCCACGCGCGTCGCTGGGACCCCTTCGGGGCGACCGGCGCGCGTCGCGTGTACTCCGCGCTGCGCTGCGCCCGCAGCATTGGGCTTTGGAGTGCGCGGGCACAGAGGGCGAAAAAGAAGGGAAGGACAATGTTGGACGGCCTAGCTTTTGTCGCTACCCCCCGTCCAACAAATCGCGGACAGAGGGAGCCGCGCCGAAGGCCCTATAGGGAACGCCACCGAAGGCACCAGTGGCAGCGCCCGCGTGACGCCCCCCTTCCACTTTGGCACACCCCTCACACGGTTCCTGCCCCCCATACTTAGCTCCACCGAAGAAGATATTCACAGATGCGGTACTCACAGCTGCATGCGGTTGAGTCCTTCGCCAGACACATTTCAATACAACCCGGGGTTTGTACGCGGTGTTCCGAAGCTTCGATCTTTTCCCTGGGACCAGATGTTCATCCTGACTCCTTTTTGGAAAGTCCAGGGGCCCAAGAGGCCGAGAACGGCGAAAAGCCACCGTTCAATTTTGATTTTGTCACGACGCACGCATGACTGGGCCGTTAGCGCTGCGCCTCGAGGTCGGGGGGGCCCTGATCACTGGATACTGGGATTTTCCAGTCACGATCGACGAGATCGGTAGCGACCGATGTTGCTTCGAATTCTGGTATCGGTCGCGACCGACTTCTTCCAAAATCGGTCGCGACCGATCGGTCGCGACCGACTTGTTTCAAAATCGATCGCGACCGATTTGGATTGCCGATCGGTCGCTACCGATCGCGACCGAAAAAAATCTGTATCCACTGATCTCGGGATGCCGAGAACGGCGAAAAATCACCGTCCGATTTCTTCCACGACGCGCGCATGTCTGGGCCGTTAACGCTGCGCCCCCAGGTCGGGTGGTGTTCGGTGGCAACTCACGAGAGCCTCCCATACCATCGTGTCGGCTCTTGCGAATCGACGCCAATCGACGCTCAATCGACGCTAGCCGACGCTAAATCGGCGCTACCTCACTGACTCCGGGACGCTAGATGGACGCTCATCGACGATGAAGACGGAATTAAGAAGGTACACCAGGCTCCCATGATTTGCTACCGTCGGGGAGACGTAAGACTCGGGTACGGGGGACTCGGTTTGGCCCGACGGGGCCATCATAAAAATGAAAAGACCCAATCTGACATTCGACGCGAACTCCCTCTGCAACCATTCCACGAAAACTGGCCCGTCAAGATCCAGGACGCAGGACGCACTCGTCAAAAAGCGTCGGGGATCTTCTGACCCGGGTCAATCCAGACCCGGGTCAGTCGGGCCTTGCAGAATCCTGCAAGATCCTGCAAGATCCTGCTCCCAAACTTGGGTCAGTGCGAAGGGCCCTGCAGGATCCTGCAAGATCCTGCGCCCAAACCTGGGTCAATGCGACCCTGGCCCTGCAGGATCCTGCAAGGTCGGGGCGCTCTGGCCGACCCCCGTCTGCATTGACCCCCGTCTCCAGGCTCCCGAAAGCGTCGGCAAACCCGAGGCTCCGGCGCACTCGAACATTACTCTTCCCCGGAGAGGGGGCGGGGGGGGGCGGCGGCGCACTGGCACGCGCAGCGCGGGGCTGCAGAAGATGCACCTTGCGCGGCCGCGGGCGCCGGCGGCGGAGGGGTACGCCGGCGGCGGGCCCGCCGCCAGTGGGTGGCGCGCCGAAGGGGGGGATTCTTAGGTCGGGCATGTCCTCCTCCAGGCAGGTTTTGGAAGAGGAAGCAAGCATACTCAACAAATACACCAAATTAGTTGTAAATCGTGAAAACATCGTCCCCAGAATATGTTTGACTGTTCATATTCCTGCTGTAGAGGGACATGCCCGACTTGAGCTTATTCTATCCCCACTGGCGTAGCCTGGGCCTCGCTGATTTCCCCCCTTGATAGGGGATACAGGCTGTCACCTTCGGGTATCGAGGGGCATTTCCCCAACTGGGGTGGTGGGATGGTGGGGAGTAGATACCATGGCCCGACGGGGACGGGGTTAGGCTAAACGGTACTGGCATGTTGCATATTCGGGGGGCCTCGAAGGTCCCATCGCGCCAGATTGTCTGTGTCGAACCCGCGTCGAATCCATGTCGAACGCGTCGAAACACGAGTCCGTGTCAAATTCGTGTCGTGTGCACGTCGAATCCGCGTCTTAGTATAAGGAAAACGGAAGAGATGTCCGGGGCAGGAAAGGTCCCACGAAGATGTGAAGAAAAAAGGGGGAACTGAAGTAACGAGCGGTCTGGTCTGGATTCTGGGCGCGGCCCCGCGGATACGCGGTCGCACGGTTGCGCCCCGCGCGGGGCACCCGCGAAACGGCGCCCCGTAACGGCGGGGTCGCGGCCGTCGAGGCCGCGCTCCTCGCCCACGAGTGGCGGGGCTGCTCGGAGGCCCTCTGGCCTTCTGTCGGGTCGGGCGAAAGGGGGGGATAGCAAAGGGGGGGGGTGAGAATCAGCTCACGTAGCTGATTTTCCCGGCGCCTCCCGGCGCCCGGGGGCCTATGTCGAGGAATGGCCCGGTGAGGCTGCATGCAGCAATTTCGCCCCCCCCCATCCCCCCCTTTCGCCCGACCCGATTCTGGGAAGCCCCCCGAGGCCTCGGCGCAGGCTCCGAAGGCCTCCGGGGACCGGCCGGGCGCCTCTCCTCAGCCGTCCCGAGGAGGCCGGCCCCCGCCGCCGCCCCCCCCCGTGGGCGCGCCGCCGAGCGTGGAGCGAGAAGCGAGGGTCGAGGAGTAAGGATGGAGCATCGAGGATCGAGGATCGAGGATCGAGCATCGAGGATCGAGGGTCGGGGATCGAGAAGCGAGGACCGATAGAGGAGCCCGGGTCCGTCGGCGCGTCCCCGAAGCCCCTGCGAGGAGCAGCGGGGGGCGGGTGATGGAGCCCGGGCCGCGGCCTCCGCTCATATCTCCTCTCCGCAGCCTCTCCGTCCTGGATGTTTGGGCGCCGCTTCGGCGTTCTCCTCCTGATCCGCCCTGCCCCTCTTCCCCCTCCTCCTCCTCCTCCTCCTCCTCCTCCTCTTCGTCGTCCTCCTCCTCCTCCTCCTCGTCTTCCTCCTCCTCTTCCTTCTCCTCCTCCTCGCGTTCCTCCTCCACCTCCTCCTCCTCCTCCTCCTCGCGTTCCTCCTCCACCTCCTCCTCCACCTCCTCCTCCTCCACTACGGGGCGTGAGGAGGAGGGGGAGGTGGAGGTGGAGGTGGAGGAGGAGGAGGAGGAGGAGGAGGAGGAGGAGGAGGAGGAGGAGGGGGCAGGCCTTCTCAGAGGGCGGCGGGGCTTCACAGAAGCCCCCTGGCCTTCAGAGACATTGTTGGTGAAGCCTTCGGGGGAGGGGGAGGCTTAGGAAGACTCCTCAGACAGCCCGAGGGGTCCCGAGCCTTCTGATAAGGCCCGCCCCTTTTCACTTCCCCCAGGCTCGCCGCCGACCAACATGTGAGCGGCGAAAGAAAAATACGAGTCTTATGCCAGACGACAGAGCTACCGTACGCCGCGGCTTACGTAGGCTGCCACAGGAAGGACACGAGGGCGCTTGCGCGCGACCGTACGCGAACAACTTGCGCGCCAATGCCCGCGCAAACGACCCCATGCTCTTCCGTTGCTGACTTGCGCGTGCTGTTAGAAACGCGTCTTCAATCAAGTGTTTCGCGACAACGGCCGTTACTGGCCCCAGCCGCCCTCCTCTCTCTCTTTTACCGCCACGGTTCCTCGTGACCTCCGAGCTGGCTTTGGTTCTCCGCACACATTCCCGGACGGCGCTGGCGCGAAACGTAACGATGCCAGCCCCCCCGCCCCCCCTTTCCTATATCGCCTGGGAATAAAGCGACGTGTCCTAAGTAGCTGGCGATGGGCGCTTTCTACAGCCCGCGCTCCGCGGTGACCCATGGTTGACTGACCCATGGGACATGTAAAGAAAAACGCACAAATCTCAGGATTCCCCATCAGGTCTGATATGTCAGGGGACTTCGTCTCCCAAACCACTTCCGATACTTCCGATACATATATACATATATACATATACATATATACAGACATACATACACATACATACACACATACACATAATGTCAGAAAAAAAACGCATTCTGTGGTCGCTTGGAAGGGGAGGGGGTTGGAACCGGACCCCATCCCCCACCTGGATGGAGGGGGGGGGTCGACCCCCCCCCTCCCCTACTTCTCCTCTCTCCCTCTCCTCGCCGGCGCCAGCGTCGGCGGCGGCTGGCGGCGGCGAGGGCGCTGGCGGTGGTGGTAGTGGCGGTGGGGGCGGTGGTGGTGAGGTGGTTTGTGGTTGTTGTGGTAGTGGTGGTGGGTTGTGCTGCTGGTAGTAGTGGTAGTGGTTGTGGCGGTGGTGGTGGTGTGGTATATTGTGGCGGTGGTGGGGTGGTAGTGGTGGGTTGTTGTATTGGTGGTGGTGGTGGTGGTGAGCTGCTGTGGTGGTGGAGGTGGCGGTAGTGGTGGTGGGTTGTGTAGTGGTTTAGTGACGGTGGTGGTGGCGGTGGTGGTCGTGGTGGTGGCGGTGGTGGTGGTGATGGTGGTTTGTGGTGGTGGTGGTGGGCTGGGGTGTTGGTGGTGGTGCTGCTGCTGCTTGTAGTGGTGCTGGTGGTGGTGGTGGGTGGTGGGGGGCGGGCGGTGGTGGTGGTGGTGGTGGTTGTGGTGGTGGTGGTGTGGTGGTTTGTGGTGGTGCTGGTGGTGGCTTGTGGTGATGGTGGTGGTGGTGGCGGTGGTTGTGATGGTGGTGGTAATGGTGTGGTGGTTTGTGGTGATGGTGGTGGTGGTTGTGGTGGGTTGTGGTGGATTGCGGTGGTGCTGGTGGTGGTGGCGTTTTTGGTGGTGGTGGTGAGGTAGTTTGTGGTGATGGTGGCGGTTGTGGTGATGATGGGTTTTGGTGGTTGTGGCGATGGTGGCTGTGGTGGTGGCGGTGGTGGTGGTGGCATGGTGGTCTGTGGTGGTGGTGCTGCTGCTGCTGTGGCCTTCTGCTCTTCCCGCCACTGTGTTTTGGCTTTGGGTCAGAGTTCTAATGGATGCCTCTTGAGGTCTCGTCAGAAAGCTCGGGGGCCTCTGAGAAGCATGCGAGGGCTCGAAATGGCGATTTGTGTGTGTTCCCTCTGCGGCCTGTAGGCCCTCTCTGGTCATCGTCGCTGCATCCCCGACGTCGGCGCTGCTAGCCGCCGCCGGCGCCAGCGCCGGCGCGGGGGAGAGGGGGGGGTGTTTGAACCCCCCCCCTGGGCCCTCTCTGGTCATCGTCGCTGCGTTGGCGCCGCGGCGGCCGCCAGCCAGGGCCGGCGCCGGCGCCGCGGGGGGGGTGTTTCGGACACCCCCCCTTGGGAAGGGGAAGGTTTTCGGGAGAGGGGGGGGTTAGGGGAGTCCCCCTGGTTCTGATCGACGGCGCTGACCGAGTGTTGGGGGGGGTCCACCCCCCCGTTCGAAACGCGCCGCCCCGAATGTTAATTACCAAGGCTAGCGCCCGTGAAACGCGATCCCTCAGATGTCCCAATATTCTTTCGGGCATCGACGATGCATTGTGTTTGTGTTTTCCCCACCTGAAAGGTCTCTTGGGGTGGCGTCCAGGAGAGCCCAGAATCGAATCGACAAGTCGGATCGGCGATCGGAATGAATCGGATCGGCGGAAATCAGCAGTCGAGTCGGGAAAAGTCGAATCGGCGGAAATCGGCAGGCTAGTAGGCCTCCATTGAGGGATCCGAGTCCAAATCGGAATCCAAAGTCGAATCAAATCGAATCGGAGGAATCGAAGCGAGCCCAGGCCGTCTCCTGCAGATCGGCCCCCGCTCAGCAATCGTGCCCGGGGAACTTGCGCGGGGCCGTCCCCATATTTTCACGTACGTTCCTGACAATCGACGTTAAAGTGTGCTTGTCGGTCTTTCCACCCTGAAGAACACCTTTCATCGGAAAATGATGCCTCGAGCATCCATCCGAAACCCCAGACGTCATGTTACTCTCACACGGTGTTCCCGTGGAGGTGCCGACCCGTTCCCCGGGGCCAGCTTTGCATCCCGCGCTGTTCTGACGGCCCAGCGGCCCAGCCCAGGGGCCGAACTCAGCCAAAAACCTCGTGTACTTAGTGACTTTCCCACGGCGCGGGTCAGAGGCCGACCGCTGGACACTTCCTGGGGCGCATTCTGACCAGAATTCGGAGGCGAATCCAGCCGTGGTGACGAGAAGCCCACAAGAGGCCCCAAAAAGCCTCGATCCTCGAAGTTCGAAGTTCGTAGGCCGGACCCCCCCCCCGCAAACCACGCGCCGCGACCTCTCCTGGGGCACGTTCTGCCCAGAACTTGGAGGCGAGCCCGGCCGTGGCCATGAGAATCCGCCCAGCGGCCCAAAACATGCTCGACCTCGAAGTGCGAAGTCCGAACATTTGGAGCAACACACGTCGTCGAACACCTGAACATTGCACCGATCGGATCGAACAGGCGGCGGCGGCGGCGCGGACGCGGGCGGCGCCCGAGCCCGGCGTAGCCAAAGGGGGCCATGACCTCCACGAGGCCCGTGGCGGCCTGCAGAGTGCGGGCAGCCCGGCGCGCTTGCGCGGGGGGATGGGGGGGGGGGCGAGGAAGGATGGGCGGACGGGGGGAAAGGGGGGGGGGGAATGGGAAGCGGAAAGCGATGATATGTCGTTGTTCCCCCGACGTCAGCACTAAAGTGTGGCTTCAGGTTTGAGAGAAATACGGTCCGTCGCAGGGGGCCCGCGGTCTCGTGGTGCCCCGCTCAGGGCGACGTCGCGATGGCGCTGGCATGCTGCTTTCGAGCCGTCGGAACAGGCACATGACGACGATGATGACGATGACGATGACGATGGTGATGATGTGGATGATGTGGATGATGTGCATGATGATGGTGATGCTGTTGATGTTGATGTTGATGATGATGGTGATGATGATGAGCATGATGGCGCTGATGATGATGATGATGATGATGATGATGATGATGATGATGATGATGATGATGAGGATGGCGATGATGATACTGGTGAGGATGAGGCCCATGGTGATGGTGGCGGTGACGGTGACGGTGGCGATGATGATGCTGCTGATGCTGCTGATGCTGATGCTGATGCTGATGCTGCTGCTGCTGCTGATGCTGATGCTGATGATGATGATGATGATGATGATGATGATGCTTGTGCTTGTGATGATGATGGCGGTGCGCTTGCGCGGGGTGCGGGGGAGGAGGCACGCCGGGAAGGGGGGGAGGAGGGGACCCTTAGGTTCTGGCGTCGCAGATTGTTTGGGCTGGGCTTTTTCGTGGAATCCCGGGCCGCGGGACCACGTATCGATCCGGCTCGAAATCCCTCCAGCCTGTCGGCCGTGGGTGGTTTAGGCGGTGTCATTTTCATCTCCCCCGTCTTCCCCTTCGGGGGGAGAGATCCCCACTGCTCTCTATAACTGTACACCCCCTCCTTCGCCCGACCGGCGACGAACCAGGGGCAATGACACCCACCCAGCACCCATGCCAAAAATGTCAAGTGTACTCTGCGGCGCAATTCCACTACACATCATCCCCCGCCCCCGCACCATCCCACAATGTAAAAGGCACTTATCAGCGGCAAACTATTGAGTCATGTTCGAGCACTTCTGTGTTCGTTGACAAAGGATGGCGGGGATGCCAGCATACGAACTGCTGCGCGCATGGGCCACCAAACCTGTCGCAAAATATTTGTGGGGATGGCATGGCCCGTGGCCCAAATCTCCATCCCGATCAAAGCCTTTCTGGTCGAGGACCCTGGTTCTGTTGAGGCGGCCAAGTTCCTGACAATTTCTCGACCTCGCGTTCTGCCGTGACTCACGAAAACGCCCCGAGCAAAATTATAACACCACCAAAAAAACGCATGCAATCGCCCAAAGCGGCGCCGACGACGACGGGCGGCGCGCACGCGCCCTTTGTATTTATCGCGAGGGCACAAATTCCGCGGCACACCCCTCCCAGCGCCGTCAAAAACAAACGCGCGCCAAGAACGAACGGCAAAAAACACACCCCAGCTTAAGAGCCCCAAACCGAGGGTCCCAAGGTCACGTTTACCCTGGAACCCCACCAAAGAGAAAAGGAGGACGGGGAAACGCCCAGGACCCAATACTGAAAACGGTAACCATTTTTCGGGAGAGCGAGGCGGGCCGCGGGAGACACCCCGCCCGCAGGCGGGGCGGTCGCGCGCCCCCTGCAACGGGCCCCCCCCCTCCCCCACACACAATCTTCATGAGGAGCGCAATGGAGAACTGTCTGCGCGCGTGGTCGTTGCTCTTCCGTGGCAGTCGCCCCGAGGGTGAATGCAATCGCGAAGAGCGCTTTCGCGAAGAAGTTGTAATTCAAGGCGGCGAATTCCATGGCCAGAGATAAAGCAGGACTTACAAAACGCGATCCCTAGGAAAATTCAGTCGTAGGAAAAAACACAACGACGAGCGGCGCGAAAAAATGAAACGACAAAGAAGGCCCACGGGAATATGGTGACACCAAGAACAGCATCAAGGACGAATGCAAGGAGCCCGAGATGTGCAGAACCAGCCTCATGGCAACAAGTGCCCCCGCCGAACACATGCCGTCGCTCGGCCTCCACGTTCCGTTTCGTGGGAAGTCGCAGGGTCGGGAATGCCTGCCCCCAGTGGTACTTCTACCGTTGGCTTCAGGGCCCCGCGGGTGGCCCTACTGCAGGAGCGGGCGCGAGCGTGCCCTGCGATGGCGGCCGGGGTCTCGACCCTGAGTCGGACACCACTTCGAGCCGAGCGTTTGCCGCGTCTACAACAGGAGATCGCGCCAAGCGCCGCGGCAACTGACATGCGCCGCGACTCGCGCAGGCGCACATCCAACGGCGCCTTCGGCCAAGGCGCTAGCTCCGGAAGAATGTCACAGCGCCGCGAAGGCGCGAGGTGTCGCCGCGGGCGCAGCGCGGCGCAAACGTCGCGGCTCGCCGCAGCAGACTGAATAGCTACAACACTTCAGCGCCAGCTCTCCAGGCCGCCGCGGAGACAGACCGCGGAGAGCGCTTCGCGTCGAGTTCCCTCGCCGCCGCGGAGACAGACCTCGGCGAACGCTTCGCGCCAGGTCTTCCCGTCGCCGCGGAAACGGACCACGGCGATTGCCTCGCGCCAGGTTCCCCCCCGGCAAGGAAAAGTGATCCAGCGGAGTGCTTGGCGCAAGGCCCCCCGCAGCAAAGCCGCGCGCGCCTGCCCCCCCGCGCCCCGCGACCCTCCGCCCCCCCGGAAGGGGGGGCGGCGCGCCATGGCCGACAGTGACTGCGAAGACGGCTGCCTGGGCCGCCAGGGCTCACGCGCTGCCGCGGGCCGACTCGAGCGCCCTCGCGCTGCGTGACCTGTCTCTTTGGGTCTAGAGCGGGCTTGCTCGATCCGCGTTGGAAAGCGTCTCCAGGGCGCCGTTTCTCCCCGTTTGAGGACCCCTGCGGACCCGGGCGGCTCGTCGCCAGGACCAGGGCGGCTTCCTGAGGGCGGGCGCTCGGGGGAGTCACCCTTTGCACGCGGTCTGCGAGGGCCCGCGTTCGTCATTGCCTGCTCGCGCGATGGCGCGTTTACCGCCGTGCTTGCGCGCCCCGCCACGGAGGCGCCGGCGCGCCGGCGCGCGCGCCGCTGCGCGCCTCGATATGGAGCGTTTCCTCTAAAGACAACCTTCGCGGGACTTTCGAGCTCCCGACTCTTCGCCTGTCCTGTAGTCTTCTTCTCCGCAGCCCCGCGATGCGCGCGCGCCATCTGGGCCCGTTCGCGCCGCGCCCCTTTGCTTGCCGACGCGGCCGCGAATCCCCTGTGCGCTAACGCTATTCCCCTGAGTGCTGAGTGCAGCCGCTGCCCCGCAAAGAGCTCGGCGCGCTGGCCGCAAGGCCGCTCGCGACATTTTCCAAGGCCGCCTCTTCCCGCCCCGCGACGCGCCCCCGTGCCGCGCTCGAGGTCGCGACGGTGTCCCACCTGAGTTCCGAACGGAGCTTCAAGGATGCGCGGCGCAGGTGGGGCCTGCATCCCCGGGAGCGCGCGCGCCCAACCCTCGATGGGCTCGCTGATGTTCGCGTCTTTGAATTCGCCTGCATTGGGGCGGGCGAAATCAGACGCGGCCGTCTGCTCCTACCAACCCACGCCAATCCAACGGAATATGAGACATACTTCTGTCCTTTGATGAATCGGCCGTCGGCCTCAGCAACTCCCTTCCATGCGTTGGCCCTCCATATGGGGCCATGGTTTCTGAGCATATGGCTGCATGCTTTTTTCTTCATATATATACATATATATATGCATGTATATGTGTATGTATACATATATATATAAACCAACTGCCTCGAGCTCGCCACTGCCCGCGAGAGAATCACGCGTGGTTGCGGCATCCCCAGTCGCGCGGTCCATCGTCTCGTTGAAAGCATTCTGGGGGATGTCGAACTTGCCGTGGTGATCGCCAAGAGCACGCCTAGTGGCATCGATTGCGTTGGGCATCAGCTGGGCTGCGCGGGCGCGCGTCAAACCTTGGCATCAACCGTGCAACAGTTTCGAGTGACGTCGTCGCATGCTAGGTTGCTGAGTTGCGCGACGCGTCCCATTCAATCGGCGAGCCTTCTGACGTTCCCATTGCGACGGGGACTGGGTCTGTAATATGGACCTCCTCGCCATGGATGGCAACCTATGTGGTCGTCTTTGGCCCGTCGCCGACGTGCCCGCGCCTTCCATGGCGCGGCGCCTGCGTAACAGGTGGGAATGGGGGGGAGGGGTCAAAAGTCAGAGTTGGGTTGAGGTCCGCCGCGAAAGCTCATCTTAAATGGCTGCGGTGCGCATGCCCTTCAGTCGCAGGAGGCAGCTCATGGCCCCTTCCGACTAATTTACAGTACTTCTTCCATGCCACTCCTCGCCCCTTCACTGCTCGCATACTTCATGCATATGCGAGGTTCTCGATTGCGCTTACTGCTGAAACGTTAATGCGCCCATCCCCAAACGTGTCGTGCAACCGCAACTCACGCGCTTAAGTCTGCCCTGCTGTTCCCGATCCTCGCCCACTGGCAACGGCGATGGCGGCAGTTCAATCGCAAGTGGGTGCGATGTCACCTGGTACCCGAAAGTCTCTTAGCTCTCAGGACTGACTGCACTCCGGGTGCCACTGCTGCACCTACTACTATGCCGCAGTACTCGGCATCTCCCAGTGAAAATGACATAGTTGCCGCGCAGAACCACGTCACCACCCAATGATTGCCCTATATACTTACACCCTGCGCAGTCGGCGTTGGTCCGCGCGGCGAAGTGTCAAAGTGGCCCCTGGGACTCGCGCGCGCATTTTTCTGGCCGCGATCCATCATCAACTTCCCGAACTCACCGAGCGATCTCCACGATCCTACAGTGGCCGCCGAAATGCGTCGAACAGAATCTTCCAAAGGGAACGAAAAACTGGATACGTCTTCGGTTGAATACTTGGCTCGGACAACCAATGCCTGATGCATCTCGTGGCCCGCGCCGCTTCGTGGCTCCTCATCATGCCCGCGCTTGGGTAAAATCTCGCCTGGCGCAAGGCACCTCGCATTGACCGGATTCAGCCCCAAATCCCTGGCAATGATCTCTGCATGCCTCTGGTCTGCCTCATGCCCCGCTCTTACCTGCACCCGCTGTGCGACTAGGTTGGGGATCCTGATTGTTTTCGTATTCCCTTCCAGATCCCAGTCTTACTCTTACCTTCACGTCGCACCCCTCCTGCACCTCTTTATTCGAACCAGCCATGGCCAAGGTAAACCCAGACAAGTGTGTAATAATCACCGTGCGCACTTCACCAACAAGTTCCTGCGATCGGGATGGGACACGCATGACGGCGCATGCCCTGACATGAACCTGGTTAGTTAGACGATGTTGTTTTTGCGTGAAAGACTACCCACTTGCATGTAGCAGTTCGCGTGCTGCACATTGCGTTGATCAGCTTGCCGCACCGACCTGGTTGGCAATCTTCCGCAGGTGGCTGAGCGTACAGATTCGTCTGAGCTTGCGCATGGCAGTAGATGCGCTTAATCTCAATGAGCGATAATTTTCGCCTGCCTACTATTTCCACTATGGACACTGAGACCAGCAATTTCTGAGCTCCCACGGGCGGGGTGGCGCAGATAAGTTCCCCCGTGGGGTTGTATTCGGCCTCCTGGGTTGCAAACCCTAGTTTGCATTATGGTAAGAAGCAGCTCCTGTATTGAGGTTAATCCCCCATGTACATACGGACACCGCGCCCGTCATTTCCCAGCACTGGCCCTGATTTACTTGTAACTTGAATGACACGCTTGAGGAATGGGTCCATGTATTATCGTTGGTTTTGGTGGCGATTTGTGGGGTCAGCTCGGTCCCAGTGACATCATCCCAATCTCTTGTCGCTCCGTCCTTTCCCTGGTGGGCCACATGTATTCCTGGCCGAACCATGGCGGCGATTTGATCCAATGATCCGCAACGTTCAACAGAAAGCCGTGCGGAGCGCCGATGATTTATGTTTAAGTCGATGTCTGTCCTTCGAGGATTGGGCTGACTCCACAGAAGAGGCAGGTCTGAGAAGCAGAGATTGATACGCAAGTCACAGCGCACAACGCGGCGAATCTATCGCACCGCTGCTGCTGATAATTCCGCGGCGGCGCACGCGGGGCGGGGTATGATCGCGCCGGACTGGCTCGCGTTCACGCACGCCCTGAAATCATAATGGAGGGGGAAGGAAGGAGGACAGAGGAAAAACAAACATCATCGAGCACATACGAACCCTTAGCCCTGATAGCGCGCTGCAGACGTGGCCTCACTGAGGTCCCCGTCTTCGCATTAGCCATAATAGCTCTCGGCGGTTTTGTCAGATACATCTGCAGTAAAGACTCCATATCCCTGATGTGTTTGGCCCTCCTAACTTAGGTCCCCTACCAACGGGTTAGGGGCAATTTTTTCAGATTTTTCAACGAGCGTTCCGTTGGGGTCTCGTTCGACCCTACAGCTTCGAGAGTCGAAGGGAGGAAGGATAGAGGACTTGGGGCAGATCAGGCTGAAACGGAGACCGTCATGTCTGTGGCGGATGGGGTAGCGTTAGGTCGGGCATGTCCCCCTACAGGTGGACTCTGGACGAAACATGCAAAATAGCCAACACATTCCCACACATAATCACACATATTCAAAACATCAAACACACCACACAGAAAAAACAAACAAGGAAAACATCCCCAGCCTATTTGGTATACCTATTTCAAAAGATACCTCCTATAGAGGGACGCGCCCGACTCAAGGGTGACGGGCTTTGCACAGACTCCATGGAAGCCCAATGGCGACCTCTGCGTCCAGGGCTGCGGCGGCCTCCCGATGCACCTGCTGGGGAAGCATGCGCCCTGGGCCCAGTACGTGCAGACGCCACTCCCGAAGAGGCTGGAAACGAGGGGGCGGGGGAAGGCGGGGAAGGAGGGACTCCGGCGCTGTTGCCGGTGGGAGTCCACATCGGGGCTCCTCAACCGAAGCTGCTTCTCGAAATTTTGGAATTTGGGGGAATCCTTGAACTTCTGGGATTCCTTGTGAATTTTTTGGACAGTCTGGAATGTCTCGAAGTTCTGGGATTCCTGGAAGTTCTGAAACTTCTGGAATTGCTGGAATGTCTGCACTTTTGGAACCTCTGGAATTTCTCAAATGTCTGGAATTTCTGGTTGGGCGCTGCGTACTGGCGGGGGGGGGATAGTGTAGGGTTGGCGAAGGTACGAGCACCTCTCGTGCCGCTGCTGGGCCCCAGAGGACCTCTGAGGTGCATGGAGGGTGCAGCTCCCTGCACCCGCCACTTGCTCGCCCTTCCTCGCCCCCCCGTTACTCCTCCTCCGCCTCCTCCCCTCCCTCCTCCCTCCTCCCTCCTCCCTCCTCCCTCCTCCCTCCTCCCTCCTCCTCCTCCTCCTCCTCCTCCTCCTCTCCGCCTCCTCCTTCTCCTAGGTGGCGACCTCGGAACCCGACCCCACCAACCATCGACTCTCCTGAAGCGATGGGGAGCGGGGCTCAGGGTTCGGGTTTCGCCACGTGCTCCACGAATTCAGAACCTCTGCCGCTCATCGAGTCGTCAGAACCGTTGATCAGCGAGGGAAGGGTTCGGTTTAGTTCGCCGAATTGCGCAACGCACGATCTGGACCCCGGGAAAATCATTCGAGAGCCCAACCAAGCGGGGAGATTGAGCAACGCGAGGGGGAATGGGAATGGGAGGGAGATGGGGCAACGTGCGCACCAAACGGGAAAGCACCCAGAGTAGCCTCCTGGAATGCGCCAACTCTGGAAACCTTGCCGAGTGCACATCCAAGATTCCCAAATCCAGTGACCGAACATGCGCACAACGAGCACGCGCCGAACTGGACGCCGCCCGCGAGAATGCTTCGAGCCCGGTCCACTGAGTGACGAGGGGCACTCCCAAAACTCAAGAAGCGTGGCCACGCAGGAACGCACTCGGAGCCCGCGCTGCAGCATGTCTGGGACGTAGTCTCGTGAGTTTCACATTCTTAAAGGGAAATTAGGACACACAAATAAATACACACAAATAAAAATAGTCCCCATATTTTCCTATATTTTCTGGGTTTTTGTCTTCCCCCCCACTGCCCATATTTTCCCATATTTTCTGGGGAATCGAGGATTAATTGTGTCTGTGTGTTTCTTCCCCTCCTGAATTCTGTGGGCCTCATGGGCCAGAACTCTTTCTGGGGCAACGCATCGACCTGCCCAAGAGGGTGCGGATCCACTATCGGAGGCATATCGCCGATGTCTCGGCGATGCATCGCCGCTTCCAGGTCACTGCATACCCCCCTGTGCCAGTCCCCTCTGTTGTGGCCCCTCGTCTTCCTTTGCCCCCTCCTCGGGCAGGGCTGGGGCGTGGCCCGGTGGCCGCTGAAGCGCTCGAGGTGCAGCCGCAGGCGGCCCAGCAGCATGCCCAACACGAAGACGTGCAGGTAGCAGAGGGGGTGGAACCTCTGCGGCGCCACACTCGGGGCCCCGGCCGACGCCTCCACTTTGTGGCGAGGCAGACGCCTCGCCGGTGCCACGCTGCGCTGCGGTCTCCCTGTTCGGTGCGATCTCTCGTTGCGCTTGCACGCGCTGAGCGCACGCTTGCGAGCTTCAAGGACAAAGGCACATGGACACACACACACACACACACAACGCATGCCCTTTGATGAGAAGAATCGCCTGCTCCGTTGGCACGTGAGCATGCGAACGAAAAACTGCTAATGTCACCGCCCCTGAACTCAACATGTCAATGACTGGAGCATGGGATGGCGTGACATGCATGAGAGGTGAGGGCATGGGAAAATACAGGGGCCGCGGATGAGCATTGGCATGGGTATTGCCATTATCGAAAAAGGCGGATGTACAGGTGCCGGCATGAGGAGTGGTCATCGTATAACTGGGAAGGCTCTTTGGACCCCCCCGAACAGTGGAAACTAATCATCGCTTCGACGCGCTCATTGACGGACTGCGGCCTCACCGATAGCCGAAAATGATGATTCTCCGCGGCACCCGCCGCACAACAGCGACGACGACGACGACGACTACGACTACGACTACGATTGCGACTACGACCACGATGCGACGACTATTACCAATTGCGAGAAAAAAAGGATGGGAGGGAGGATGAAAAAACCAGGATGGGGGATGATTTAACTTAAGGAACCTTCGAGGTGAAGTATGGCGACGCGCCTAAAATCAGATGAGGGCCTGATTCTGCGTGCTGCGTATGGATCTATCCGTACGTGCCCGCACGGTGCCGGGGCCTGGGGCAGTGCGGGCGTGGGCATGGGCACGAGTGTGGATCCGAGTGTGCAGATGTGTGCAGGAGTGTGACGCAGCCCAGGACTTGGGCTGCCGACGGCTTCACCCTCCCCTCTTCTCCTCCCTCCTCCTCCTCCTCCTCCTCCTCCTCCTCCTCCTCCTCCTCCTCCTCCTCCTCCTCCCTCCTTTCCTCCTTTCGCTTCGCCACGGGACTCGCTTGCGCTTGTAAAAACCACTAGGAAACGCGGGCCACGCGCACGGGAGAGGCGTGGATGGATCATCGCACAGCGCCGCCGCCACCGCCGCTGCCACCTTCGCCGTCGTCCGCTGCCGTCTCCAGCGCCGCTGGCGCGGACGGGAGCTTCAGGAAGACCACCGCGACGTCCAGAGCCGTCTCGGAGTGCCCAAAGGAGTGGTCGTTAAACCAGAGCGGGTCGGCACCTCCGAGGTCGCCGCCCGGGGGAGGGACAAGCGCGCGCCGCCGACGGCCTCCCCCTCTCTCTCTAGTTGGAGACACGCCCGCAACGGCGTCTCAAAGGAACTTGGCGGCGCGCAGAGGCGGGTTCGGCGGCGAGCCCGGGGGGAAGTGAGAAAGGGTGGATTTTCTCAGAAGGCGCGGGTTTTCTCAGAAGGCTTGGAAGTCCCCCAGCCTCCTGAGAAGTTTTCTAAACCTTCCCCGAAGGCACAGAAATAATCTCGAAGGCGAGGGGGCTTCTGAGACGTCCCGCCGCCTTCTGAGAAGGCCGTTTCCTTCTCACTTCGTCCACTCGCTCGCCGCCGAGGGGTAGGGGAGGTAGGCTTCTCATCGACTGCACGCAAGAGTGACCTGAGGCAAAAGTGACCCTAGGAAAGAGTGACCTTGGGTGCGCGGCTTGAGAGGGTCGCGTGCAGGCACAATCCGAACGCGCATGCCAGTGCGGGGATGACCACTGTGAGCCCGCAGCAAAAGTCAATCCGGCGAAGGGTCACTCTTACGCGCAGCCGGTCTTAGAAGGAGGCTGCTTCTTAGAGGATGCTGGCCTTACCCCTATAGAGAAGGCCGGCGCAGTCTAAGAAGCACGGGTGCTTCTGAGAGACCTTCCTTCTCCACCAAACTCGCCTCTGCGCTTGGCCGACGTCCTCTCCTCCCACCCGTCATTTCCCCATTCCCTCCCCACTTCCCTCCCTTGTGTTGAACATTTCACTGGGTCACTGTCCTTTCACCTTGGGTGCCCGTGCAGAGTTTGCGTTTTACGACTTTTAATGCAGCCTCTGACTGTGCCTAATCGTCTCTGCCAGTTGCGTGCCACAATTGGCTGATAGGCTATGTGCTTCATGATCGGGTGTTGTTAGAAGTGCCCCTGGCCCCAGGTGCCCCCATGATATCCAAGGAGGCCTCACGGCCTCCAGCGCACCCCTCACGAGGCCCAGAGGGCCCCAGGGTCTCTTAAATCTTTCGCTGGGGGCACCTTGGTCCAGGGGCACTTTTAGCAACCCCCGTATCAGCTCGCTATCCAAAAATCCTGACCTCCCGGTCCCCTCCTCCTGCTGTCCATCCTGCAGCTGCTTCCGATCCCTCTCCCCCCCAGGACAGGAGGGAGGACCTTACTAACTCCCCCAAGGGTCTGACCACCCTGCTCCAGTCATGCTTGACAGCAGAGCCATTCAGATCGACGCAAGTCGTCATAAGCCAAAAGATAAGCCGAGGCAGCTCCAGAGATGCCAATAGAAAGCACGATAAGTCGTGGCAGATCAGCGCGAGTCGCGGACCAGCAGAAGTCCTTGAGCCCTGAGCGATCCCTCCTCATTCCTCTCATCACTCCTCAATCCAGAGATGTCAAAGGAAATCTGGAAAAGTCGTGGAAGATCCAGCGCGAGTCGCGGGCGCAGAAGTCGTTAAGCCCATAGCGATCCCTCCTCCTTCCTCCCACCCCTCCTCTCACATCGTCGATCCCCCATAGGAGGAAAAACAAGTTTACTTGTTTGGAGCTTCGCGCGGACTTCTTGGATCGGCGAAGGAACACCTGCCTGGGCGGCGCCGGAGGCGCCGCCAACGGGGTTCAGCATCGATCGAAGGAGTCCGCGCAGAACTCCGAACATGTTTGTGCAGTTCGTTGTTTCTTCAACTCCCGCTGGGCGCCAACGGGTAACTGTCCTACCCACCATTACATCGCAATGCTCACGCGGCCCTGACAATTGATATGTCTACCTCTCAGAATCCAATGTTTCGCGAAAGACATCCCCACAATCTGGGCACTGACACGCAAGTGTTCTGCCCCCTGGCGGCTAACCCTTGTGGTGCCCAAGTCGTATGTTTGCTACGTCGTCACGGCGACTGCGCGGCCCTGGAAATAGACGCGTCGACATTCCCAAAACAAGTGTTCCAATTGAGATATCCCCACAATCTGGGCGCGAACGCGCCGGTGATGTACCCCCTGGCGCATACCCTTGGTGGCGCCCAAGTGTGATGAGTCCTACACCGCGAGTGCCACGGCCTGAATCAAAGACATGTCGAACTTCCCGAAGCCAGATGTTCGCTCGAGAAATCCCCACAATCTGGCCGCCAACGGGCAAGTGTCCTCCCCTCTGGCGCCCCCCCTCCCTCTCTGGGGGGCCCCAGTGAGTCGCCTTCTACGTGGCGGCCTTGAACAAAAAACGTCGCTCACCCCGCGCCTACAGCCGTACAACAAGCGAACAGCTGGAGACACCGCCACGGCACGAACTGGAAAGTCACCTATACTGGCGGCACCACGTTATGTTGCCCAAGTCCTATGCCTGTCGCATCGCGATGCTT